CCCCACCCCACCCTATGACGTATCGTTCCTTCCCCCCAGTGCGCTCCAAGCACTGCCGCCGTGCGCATCGGGATCCGCACGCGTGTCTGCAAAAAATCCGCATAGGAGACTGGTCCGCAGTCGTCGTCGTCGTTCGTCGCTCGTCGCTCGTCGCTCATCGTCGTCGTGCGCGCGGAAGCGGCTGGAACCTGTTGCTTCCGGGCGTGTGGGGGCGGGGGGGAGGGGGCCGATGACGTCACGTTTCGCGCTGTGGGCGTCTGGGCATGCCGAGGAATTGCCGTGGACGGATAGCAGCAGCATGTAGGTGGCGATCTGCACCACATCGCCTGTGTACACCTATGTGCAACACAGCACCCGTGTACACCACAGTGTTTGGATACACTGCAGCGCCTGTGTACACCACGGCGTTTGTGTACACCACAGCAACCGTGCGCAACAAAACTCAATTGTTGTATATCGATTGTTTGAAGGAAGCATTCCACCGCAAAAACATTGTCTATAGGATTTGGAACCGAATCATGATTGGAAAGAGCAGCGCCGCTGGAATCTGTACGAGTCCTCCCGAACCCACCCGCATCATCCTAACTTCTCCCACTTGCGTCCAGGAGGCTCCAGCAAAGTTGGCCGTCGGAGAACCAAGTTGACTGATTCAATAAACCATGTGCGGCGCACGCTGAGATGCGCACGTGCGCTGTAGCGCCGACCCGCACGACAAGGGGGAAGGGTGAAGAAGGAGGAGGCCGAGGAAAATAAGGAGGAGGATAATGACGAGGAGGAGGACGAGGAGGAGGAGGCGGTGGAAGAGGAGGTGGAGGTGGGGGAAGAGGGACAAGAGACAAACGTTTCATATTATTATCACATGTCCCTGGCGTGGCGTTTAGCTGTGGATCCCCAAGTACGTGTTCCTTCTACCTGTCCTGTGTACGCAGGCGTTGTGGTGTACATCGGCGCTGCGTTGCACGCGGATGTTGTGGTGTAGACAGGCGCTGTGGTGTGCACAGGCGTTGCGGTGCACGCAAACACTGTTGTGTCCACAGGCGTTGTGTTGCACATGGTTTTCGCGGCGTACGCATTCGTTGTGGTGTACACCGGCGCTGTAGTGTTGCACGCAAGCACTGGTGTACACAGGCGCTGCGTTGCACGCGGCTGTTGCGGTGTATGCGGGCGTTGTGGTGTACACGCGCGCTGTGGTGTGCGCGAGCACTGTGGTGTACACAGGCGCTGTGGGGCAGATCGCCACCTACATGATGCTCGCGTC